CAGCTTCCTGCAGCCCCCACCCGTGGCCACCTGGAGCCAGTGAGCATTTGCTCTGCCTCCTACCCCACCCCCGAGTCAGCACTGCCACAGGACCTGGCTCTCCCTGTTGATGGTCTCTCTCGTGCCCTGTGCTCATAGCTGCTCTCGGGAAAAGCTAGACCTGCCTGTCAGTCCTGCCACTCCACCTGCCTGGTTGTAAATGAACATTGTGGCTGGGGGCTGAGACCAGGACACACAATACCTCCTTCCCATAGCTCAGCCCTCGCGCTGCTGGGGTAGAACGCACCTCAGCCCAGCTTTTACTTCCCCCTGCCATGTTTGTGATGAAGGTGCTGGATTGTAGATTATCTGTCTTGTGCTAAACACAGTCCAACTCTGACCCTGACGTGAGATTCCTGAGATTTTGGACTTCCCCAGGGTGAGGAAGATCTGCTCTGCAAGTGAGTGAGTTGGGAACAGGGGGAAGCCATTAATATAAAGAGAGCAGATTCGAGCATCTTTATGGGGTGCATGGCAAGTCTTTAAGTTGATGTGGGGGTTTTACTAGGGGTGCAGACTTCACAAAGAGTAGGACATTGGAGATGAAAAGACTGTGGAGGAGAGAGTTAGGGGAGCTCTGTCTCAGGCCCTTTGGTACTAGCCACGCCTGACTTAGTTCTCCTTGTATCTATACCTCTGACACAAGGGAGCAAAGGGGGTCTGGTCTCACTCGGAGCTAATGACCTTGAGCTGCCTGCTGGTTGCCATGCTGCCCTTTCCTCTGCCTCCTGCCTAATGACTTCATTACATTTCCCATAGCTAAACAGAAATTGGAGGAAAGCTCCCTGGTCTTTGAGGCCCAGGGTAGATACACATGCTTTTTCTCCTTTTTCCCCCACTTTGTCTCTCATACAACATTCACTTCTATTTCCCATGAATGATGCTCCTTTGAGAGTGCGATGGATTCCTCCTAGAACCCACTCAGAGTAGGAAGTTTGGCCCTTTGACTCCATCTCCACAGGTCCTTTCCCCACTGATACGGGCAACCCTTCCTGCAAGGGTGTCAGTCTATGGGGAGAAAGCGTGTGAGGGGAGCAGTGGGCACACAGCAGGGATATGCCCCAGTCTTTTCTCTAAAGCAGGGGGGGCTTCTTTGTGGTATGGAAAGAGTGCTGGACTGGGAGTTAAACCTGGGTCCTGCTTCCAAGCCTGGGGCTCACAAGCTGTATGACCTGCTTCAGGTCATTGGCCTCCTTTGGATCATACTCCTGCCATCTATGCCAGACAGGGGCTGCATCTCTAGGTGTTCTTTCCAACCCAGAAAAGTAGATAAATAGAAAGAGTGAGAAGATCAGAAATGCATCCTCTGGCCTCATTTTCTCCTCCTCTATCAGACCACTGATCAGACCAGTCCTCCTCTGCATGGCCAAGGCAAAGACAAAGGCCTGAGCTCACCCTCCTTCCCTGTCTGTGCTTACCTCTACCTCTTGTGCCCAGATGCTCTTCTCACATCCACTAAAGTTTCTGTCTCTCAGCCCCTCTTCTTTCCTTCCACTTATACATAACTGTTTGCTGATTTGCCTGCAGAAATGATAGCTGTTAAGGTTCATCTCCTAAGAGAGAAACATGTAGCACTGCATCTTGGCTTTGTCCCTCAGGCACTGCCCTCTGTTGTGTGTAACCAACTCTCTCCTCTGTTTTCTCTCTGCCTATGCCCTCTCACCTTCCCCAACCCTTTCCCAGGTTCGATCCATTAGCACCAACGTCCGGAGAAACCTGGCCTTCCACACACTCAGCCAGGAAGTCCTGCTCAAGGAGTTCTCCACTATCTCCTGAGGCCACGCATATCTGAGCAGCTGCTGACTGCCCTTACCCATGAGGCTCCTGGGCTGCAGGGGGACTGAGGGGAGAGGGGCTGTCCCCAAGGTTGGAGAATAACACAGATACCGAGTTCTCTCGGTGAAGGCCGTGCTTCAGTGGAGCTTGGACAGGAGGGGCAAACCAGGGATAATCTTATTTGGGGAGGGTTTGGGTGGGCACAGGGAGAAGCCTTCAAGAATATGGGGACTTCCAGCATGGGCTCCCTGGATACCCCCTCACATTTCCAATTGAGATTACAAATTGTGGCTGCTGACTAATTTTCAGGGGCTATTGAGGCAAGTCTTAGAATGATGCCAATATCCTGAGAGCCACTGGTTCTCCGAGGCTTCTAAAATCAGACTCAGATATAGATGGAGCCAGTTCTGCTTTCTTTTGGCCTGGGGCTGAGCTGGGCTTGAAATCTGTGTCCCCTGCCCCTGCAGGCACTCTGTCCTGTCGTTAGGACCCTTAGCTCAGCTCAAGGTAGGGTAGGAATGGAGGATCTTTTTTCTACTTTCTAAATCTGGGAGACTGGAGATTAGAATCTGCTCAATGCCCTGCTGTCCGGCCACCAATTTCTGGATTTGATTCTTGGCACCAGGAGTACCTGTTAGCTTCCCCTGCCTTCCAACCCATTGATTGGTCAGCACTATAGGGTCACAACCTTAGCTTCTAATTTTCAGTCTGGTTTAAACTGTCTTTAGGGTGTGTGTGTGAAATAAACATTGACAGGTTTTCTGGAGCCCTCAGGTGCCTACTTTGCTGGTTCCCTTTCCAGCAGCCTCCCCACCTTCCCAATCACCTTCTCCTCTGGGAGCCTCTCCTGCCTCTCCTGAGCTCCCCTCCACTGTTCCGCCCCCTCACCCGGCTGTTGTTTACAGCCAGCCTGCCTAAGAATTTCCTCTGGGGAGGAATCTGTTCCTGCTGTGGTCTGGTGCCTGGAAGGGAGAGAACCTGCTGGGGGCAGGGTGCCCTCCATCTGAAAGGGGCCAGGTGAGCATCATGTAGAGGTCATTCTGTCTACCCATATTCAGGGTGGGGCCACAGGCGAGTCTCCTGGCCTTTGGGAAGTTGGCCCATGATTCCTCCTCTGGACAGCCTCCATTGGACTACTGTAGGCTTTCCCTACCCCTTGGCTGCTTTCAAAGTAGCTGCTCTGAGATTCCCCCCTTCTAAAGCACTTTCTAAAGCCCTCAGGCTGGCAGGGAACAAGCAGCACAGGAAGACTCTGGGAGTAAGTGCAGGAAACCAGCAGTGAGAGCAGGTCTGGGACCTCCCTGGCTGCTATTCCTACTTAGCTTCAAATCGCTTTAGGATACTTGCCTTCCCTGGGAACCAGAGTTGTGGCTCCCACATGGAGCAGATATGCACTAGTTCCAGAGAACCCACCAGCACGCTGCCATACATAGATGTAGATTTCTGAGAGATCAGGGGCTGAGTCATCTGATCGCTAGATGGGGTAGCTCAGCCTGGGGCATATAGTGTTCTCCACAGTTATAAACCCCGGAAGAGCTGGAGCTGGAAGCTGGTGGCAAGTTGAAGTTATTAAAAATTGATTTGTATGGGACGGTCTTTTTAGTGTCTTTTGTTTGTTTTTCTTCATCTCTGTTACTCTGACCTCATTTCTCAAAGACAGAGTTAAGGTAATCTCCCAGGTTCTGGTCCCATCTGCCTAGGGAACCCCTGCCTATCCTCACGCTCCTCCTAAGTCTCCTGGCCCTAGTGGAAGCCAGTTAGGTTCAGAGCCAGTTAGCCTCCCTTGCCTTTGTTGCTTATGGATTCCTTTCCTATGAAATGAACAAGGACATGAAGCAGTGGCAAAGGACTCCTTGCCCTCCATTGTAAAATCCATCTCTTGGCCCATTTACATATATCTGTTCTAAGAACTCCGAAGAGGAGCCCCATCATCATCTAGAATTCAGCCCCTAAAGGGGCTGCCCATGCTCTGTCCATATCCCAATGTCTATGCCAGGTCTGTGGAGAACCCTCCAGAGCCAGGGGAGAGCCAGGAGCAGGGCATTGCTCCCAGAGACAATCCTTTTAGCTGCTTGTCCCTGTCTCATGCCTGAACTCCTACCACAGTTCCTGCTGAGTTAATTGAATCAAGTGCTTGGAAATTAAATCCAATTGAAGACATTAAATGTGCTGGGGTCACTTTAGCTGAAGTTTTCAGTCTCAGCAGGTCACTTCTCCAGAGGAGCAGTTGGGCAGGCAAGAGGATCACATGGGACATTGCCACCACATCATCCAGACCCACCAGATGCTGCCCCCCCCACTTCCTTCTGGCGGGTTGGGGGCTCTTGTGCTAGCAGTCCAGTGAAGAGCCTGGGGAAGGTCAGACAAGTAGGCTCAGTCACTCAATAGCCATTCCTGGGAGAGCTGGAGGCAGCCCAGCTCAGTGATAGACCCTGGCTTCAGAAAAGGACCTAATCCAGGGGAAGGGGGCCTCATAACAAAAGCATTTCTTACCTACTCTGTATCCTCACCTGGATCCCCCACACCATTCAGTGACTCCCCAAATCTTCTGGAAAACAGAAGGAATCTAGGACAGGGCAGGTCACAAGAGAGAAGGGCAGGAAAGTTGAAAGGGAAAAAGGAACAAAAGAATAAAGTCTTGAAAAACACCTGGTTCACTCTTTTCCTTTTCTTCCTGGTGGGCCAATGGGGGTCATTAGATCAGGGAAGAAGGTACCATCAGAGTGAATGTAGCCCAGAGACGGGCCTTGCAGTGGCTGAGAGTTGGAGTCTTTCTGAGAGAAGAGAAAACTGTAGTCCACTGGCCTGAGATGAGCCTGTTAGAGGCTGGGCTGATCTTTGCTCTGCGTCCCTAACCCCCTCGTAGCAGGGTGGGCACTGGCGGGGCACCACAGAGACCCATACATGGGAGGAGAACAATAGAGAAGATAGGGGCTGACATGGAGACTGACCTGAACAGGACACACAGACTTACCCTGGCTGGTGCTGATGGTGGCGGAAGGAGTGCCTAAGAGTTGGGGTGGGGGGGAGTACGGTTTCCTCACAGTGGGTCTTTTCTGGCCCTGCTCCCTCCTCCACCGCCAGGACCCATGGCTTCAGGTTTAGGGGGTAGTGTTGCTGGAGAACCAGTCTCCCTCCCCGCACTTCCCAGCTCACCCTTTCACCGGGTTCCTCCCCCGAGCTGCAAAGAGGAGGGGGCGGGGGGTAGGGGGAGCCAATCCCGGCAGCGCCAAAGGGGGGAGGCGGCGGTGACAGCCGCGGGGAGGGGGCGGGAGGAGAGAGGCGGCTTGGCTCTGGCTCGGTGCTTAGCTCCGCTCTGCCTCCGGCTCTGCGCTCACCTACTGCCCAAGCCTCCAGCTCCTGCCCCAGGACCCCCAGCGGGACCCCAGTCCATCCCAGACTCAGCCCCAGCTCAGACAGCGTGCAACGCCGCCAGGGGGCGCCGTGTGAGCGCCCTATCTTGGCCACCCGGCGCCCCCTCCCACGGCCCAGGCGGGACGGGACGGGGGCGCCGGGGGCCATGCGGGGCCAGGGCCGCAAGGAGAGTTTGTCCGATTCCCGAGACCTGGACGGATCCTATGACCAGCTCACAGGTGAGTCAGGGGCTCAAGGGTCGCGGGAGGGAGTGTAGATTCCATCCCCCCCCCCCGGACCCTTAAGCCTATCTGACCCAGGCCCTTACTCACACTCTACCCTATTCCCAGGCACCCTCCAGGCTGTTCCGGGCGGCAGGACACTGGGGTTCAAAGCCTTGGGTCCTGTGGGGGGTGGGGGAGACAGGCAGGCAGGTGGGGAGAGGCAGCAGGTGTGGGCGTGTGTGACACAAAGCTAGGAGAGTGTCTGGAGTGGGAGGTGTTACGTGCGTGAGCGCCTGTCATTCTTTGTGTGTGTCTGTGTGTATATGTGTGCGCGCCTCCCTCAGCTGGTTGCCATGTGCCCTAGGCTTGGTGATAGGGTGAGTGTGATTTTGTTGGCTGTGCAATTGTATGATCTTGTCAGATGTTTGAGTGAGGTTCTGTAGGACTCTGTTGTACTAATGAAGTTGTTTTGACCATGTGTCTCTGTTCTATGTGCAACTCTGTGCTTTGAGTGTGTGATTCTGTATGCAGTGGCATGTGACAATCAGAATGTGTCAGGGCTTCACTTTATGGGGGTGTGTGTCTTTGTAAGACTTTAATTAGACTGTGACCCTCCTGGGGCAAGCATTTGTTAAAGTAGGTTGTATTGTGTTTTGTGATTGTGAGACTATGCAGATTATATTGGCGTTTCATGCTGATTGTGTACTTTCATGTGGCAATGTCTGCAATGGGGTTCTGTGAGTGTCTATGACTCGTCTTACCCTTGCTTCCTCTCTGGTTTCCTGGTGTAGAAGGGGGCCTTTACTGCACACCACTGCTTCCCTATTTTTTCCACAAATAGCCCAGGTGGACTCAAGGAGGGACTCTAGTGTCTGCCCAGCCTGGCTCCCAGGAACAGCACCTGGCCCTTATGGGGAGGCTTTGGTTAGTGTTTGGGTCATCGCCCCCCCACCCCCAAGAAAGTACTCAGATATCATTCTTTCCCAACTGAAGCTCCTTTAACCCTCAACAACCCTCTCAGAACTTCAGCCAATCTGAAGGAAAACACCCCCTCTTCCTTCCCCTCCAGACCCAGAGATAGAAGCTCTTGGCCTGGAAGGTGCCATGTGACCTTCCCAAACTACTTTGCTGCCCAGGCGTGCTCTGTCTCCCACAGTATGGAGTACATCTGGGCCCTCACATATTCCTGGATTTGGTAGGCAGACCTACGTGTTTGTGTGGGTGACTGTGTCACCTTGTATACATTTCCATGTGTGTTTTCTGTCTCATTGTGCAGCCTGCTCAGGAACTCCAACAATGAATGGGAGGAGGGAGACTGTCTCCTGTGTCTGAAACAAGTTGGGGAGGTGGGGGGAGCCCATGATTCTTGTCTGTCCTGAGGGGAGTGAGGTTAAGTCTCCAGGATGGGGAAGAGAACTAGGATCTAATTGAGACACTTGAGAAAGTGTCTCCCCTACTCATTGACCCTGGGGAAGTCCTAGTTCCTATGCTGAGATTCCCAGAAGAAAGAGCCCTTTGGCTCAAGCAGGCACCAGATGTGACCTAGATGTGGTTCAAACTGGGATGGAATCCAAAGGTCCAGCTCTGCCTTCACCTGTGTTCTCACCAACACAGGATCCTTGGGAGTATAAGGCCCCAAGGTGCTCATTAGCACCACATTAGTCAGTATTTGCTTCCGGCTTTAATTGATTCTCCCCTTTAGTGGAACCATCCCCTCCCCACTTGGCTATTTGAAAGAGAGACTGGGTGAAGGTGGGGAAGTACTTGTATTGGAAGGTGCAGGAATGAGCTTTCTATTACTTTTGCTGTCTGGGTCTCACTTTTCTCATCTCTAAAATGGAGAATACTACGTCTTGCCTGTCTGCCTCCCAAGGGAAATAGGTCAAATGTTGACAAGTGTTAAGAATGGTGTTCATCATCAGCATCCTCACTGTAGATAGCTCCACACACGACTTGGAATGTAGAAATAGCACTACCAGGAGCTCTCCTTTCGAAAGAGGTCTTATCTTACAATTGTGGTTGGGACTCCCCCCCCCCCATAAGTTGATAAGGTGCTGGGTGCCCAGAGACGCCGGAGTTGAAGCCCGAAGGGGAGTCGTTGTCCGAGGTGCTGAAGAGCCTTCTGGACGGATGTACTGCCATGCTTTCCTAGTTCCCAAAGTTCCTTCCCTGTGCAGGCGGGATTCCTGGGATGGACATGGGGGTGGTCTTTGGCTCCCATCATTCTGGTCCATTAGATTGACAGGGAGGGAGTCCTTAGTCATCAAGGCATCCTGGGTATACACCTGATCATTTTCCAACCCCACTCAAAGCTGGGGGAGATTTTTTTTTTTTTGGTGGGGGGTGGGGAGAATCTGAGCCCCACCCCGCCCCAGATCTACCCCCTCTGGTCTTCCAAGCCTGGCAGGGTTACTTGGAAGTATGGCGTGGTGGGAAAAAGCAGCAATCTGTGGCAGTCCTGTCCAAGTCGGAAGCTTGGGGAAGATGAGGAGAGAGTTGGGATCTGGCTGGCCAAGGCCTGAACTCGGGTCCCTCTGCTCGTAAATATCGTTTCCCCAGTCTAGGGCGCCCCCGTGTGGTCTTAGAGCAGCCATGCTTACGGAGCTGATTTCCAAATGGGGATGTCGCCTCCAAATCAAGGGGCAAAATTTGCATGGAGTTTGGTGACTCTCGCCTAAATCCTAAATGTAGGATTTTTAGCCAAAAATACAGGGTCCCAGTCGGAGGAGTGGAACTATGTCTCTCTTGTAGGCTGTCCCGGCAGTTTGAAGCCCTCAGTGAGTCCTGAAAGGGTTTACCTTGGGTACAGCCTGATAGGAGTCCTGGAAAGAGTCGGGGCTGGGACTGAGGGGAGGAGAGCTTTTCCTTCATGCATTTGGCTGGCAGTCAGAATATGATGGGAGAATGTGAACCCACTGGAGCAAGACAGAGGGACACAAAATCGAAAGTTATGAGAGAAAGGGATTTGGAGCCGCCTCTTTTTTGCCACCCCACTACTATGTGCAGCTCCTCCTCCTTCCTCTTGCTCTCTCCCATTGGTTTAGGAAGTATGGAAGTGTGGGACGTTGCCATGACAACTATGTCCTCTTACCCCCCCCCCCCATCGCTTCTCCATGCCATATTGGGAGGAGGAGGTGTGCGACAGGCAGAGAAGGAAGGGCTGAAGCGGGGCAGTAAAGAGTAAGGTTCATTATCCCCTCCCCCAGCTCCTTTTTCACAACCCCTGGGTGCCTCCCCTCCCCACTAGAAATCCAGGAAACATTCCCAGAGAAGGCTGTGAGAGAGTCCTTCCTCCCCGCCCCCGCCTCGCCCAGTCTAGGAACTTTGAGGACGGATGCTTCAGATGACGGGGCCAGGGTGCGTTTTCCCCCTTGCAGCCCAGAGGAGAGAGCCAGCGCAAGATTCTGGTCCTGCGGGTCCGGCCCTCCCGCGCCGCCCACGCAGGGCCCACTGGAGTGGGGGCGGAGACCCGACCGCCCGGGCCTTGGGGGCGGAGCTTCGCCAGTGTGCTCTCAGCAGAACCATGAACCGATGCCCCCGCAGGTGCCGGAGCCCATTAGGGCAGGCAGCGAGATCCCTCTACCAGCTGGTGACTGGGTCGCTGTCGCCAGGTATGAGGAAGGGAGGAAGGGGCTGGACCCTTCAAAAAGTGAGTGAAGTGGGATAAGAACCTTACAGAGGTGGGGAGGGGAAGGGCCCCTCACAGAGATGGAGGGAGCAGGATCCCTCAAAGGAAAGGGTTAAGAGGGCAAGCTCCCTGACAGAGTGGAGCTAGGGATAGGGTTTCTTATAGTGAAGGTGGAGGATAGGGGTCTTCAAAGAGGAAAGGATAGGGGGCATCATGGTCCCTCAAATGGTGGAGGATGAGGCAGGGCTTCTCACTGAGGATAGAGGAGGGGGCCTTAAGCAGGTGGATATAAGGGGTGAGGCCCCTTGCAGAGATAAAAGGAGGGAGCTTGCAGCAGAACAGGGAAAAGGCACAACCCTTTACTAAATTGCTTAGTTTAATGGGATCTTAAGATGACTGGGGTCAATGTCCAGAAGGGAAAAATCCTGAGGTGGGACAGGACCAACATAAACTTAGCTAGTGAGTTCATGAATGATGGGATGAATAGACTTGTGTGGCATAAGGATTGTATGTCACCATTTTGTCTATCTCTGGGAGTCTGTACGAACAGGGTTATGCATCACTCAGGTTGTAATCACTGGGTCTGTGCATCCTTGGGGTTGCATATCTTTGGGATTCTGTGACACTGAAACTGCATGTACCTGGGGTTCTATGCTTTAGAGTTGAGTTGAGGGTTCCTGAGTCACACTAAGTGAGTTGTGTAGTCTTCACAAGATTGTACCTTGGTGTGGGATGTGTCGAATTTATGACATGTGGATTGTGGATATCATATGATACTGCTGAAATGTACGCACACTTCCATCTGGGTTTCCTTAGGGCTGCCTGGGCAAGGCCCACAGAACCTAGCATCACCTCTCCACCTGGCCTGGAGAGACCAAAACCACCTAGTCCCCTGGCATTCTGGGATCTGTAGTTCTCTGGCTCTCTCCATGGTAACCTCTTGAGCCTCTGGAGGCCTCTCCTTGCCATGTGTTCCCCAGAAAGAGGGGAGTTGGGGCTGAGCTAGAGCCATGCTTGGCAGTCTCTTGGGGAGCACGCGTCCCTCAAGCCCCCTGCTTGGACCTGTCTCCAGTGACAGATGGCTGGAGCCTGGCAGGACCAGCTCTCAATCATAACAGGAATGACTTCCAGGCCCCAAAATAGCCCCAAAGCCTAGGGAGTTCATTAATCACCTAATGCAGCTGGGGGCTGCCATGTCTTCTGGCTTGCCTGGGGATGGAATGGGGCTGGGGAACTGAGAGAAGAGCTCTGGAGTCTTCACTGGCTGGGGTCTCACTGAGGGGTCAAGGACTGATGAAAGTGGTACAGCTACAAAGGGTGTGTCCCCTCATAAGGCAGTATTATTCCGGGTTTGAACTGTGAGAGATAAACAACTAAATGTTAGGAG